TGCAGGGTTGCAAGTCCAAACAGAATGGCTGCGATACTACCCCATCGAGTTTCGTTGGCGAGCACGGCCCAGTGGAGGGGTGTGATTGGGAAAACAAAAGTGAAAATTTTATTTGCTTCAAGCGGTTGCCGCGTAATAATAGTTCGCGTGAAGATGTGCTCCAGAGTGATTTGAAAGGAATTGGGTGTAGCTTCTTGTTTTCTGCCATTGCTTATGATAAGAGTAAAGGAAAAGAGCTTTCGCTACAATTACAGATGCTTGAGTTGGGGTGGTGGCTCAAAGGGCCCTGTAATTGCTCCAATAATGCATCCTGCACGGTGGTCAAGCTTGCCACAGGAGATCCAGGCTACCGGTGCCGGTGCCATGAAGGTTTCGTAGGTGACGGTTTCAAAGACGGCGATGGCTGCCGGAGTAGTGAGTCTTTTCTCATTCTTATTACAAGTTACTTTGTGGTTTTGTATTCATACCTGTTAAGTCTAGTTTAATTACACTTTCATTCTGGTTAATACATTAATAGTAGTAACAAGGTAAACGGTAAACAGTGTCTAAAGTGTTATTTAAGAAAAACGTTTAAATTGAGAGAGGAGGTATATGTATTGTTTGCTTTTCGTGAAGTAGTTATTGTAATGATGATGATAATGGATGGTGATTATGATTGTTGAATGATGACCAAGTGGTGTTTGACATCTGGTTGCGGCTTTATGCTTTGGGCAACCAGGTTGGTTTAGTTTATAATACTAGTGTAGGATTGTGCATCGGGAATTTCGGGGATGAGGTTTTTTAAGTGGGGGAATCTCTGAAAGATCAGTGTGTGCTTTATCAAGGTTCACAATGGGAATATTTGATTTGTTAGGGGCATGGGCGGTATGTAGATTTAAGCATAAAGTTCAATATTTTGATTATTGTGGACCCATTTGGACCATGATGATATTGATTCTCTTTCTGGGTGTGGGTGTTGGTTTTTGAGTTAATGGGTGATTAGTGACCCAGAATTTCGCAGAGAATATGGAAGAATGGAACTGTTCAATGCTAGGCTTGATATGTTTTTGTTTTGAAGGGTAATCTGCGTAGGAAATAATTCTTCAGAAGTCAACATGCTCTCATGGTACCTTTGGATTATTTATGGATCAAAATGGTAGGTAAAGCACATGTCTGGTAGGATGGATTTGAATTTTTTTTTATTCTATATTATAAGTGGTCAGAGGGGAGAGAGTGGTGCCAAATACATTTATCAAGTGGGGAAGTAGGAAATGAACCTAATATTACATGTAACTTCTTAGTTCAGGACATCACCGACCGACGCTTGTTGCTTATCATTTTTTCTTTTTCTGACACTAGAAGTTGAAGTTGAGTGTGATACGAGTCATTGGAAAACTAAAATTAAGTAAACATCTTCTTTGACGCAATCTATAAGGAATATTATTGAAGGCACGACAGATCCGGTTAGAATTGGTCAGTAGATACACGGATATGAACTCACCGACAGGTTGTAGATATGAATAATGCCATGATATTTAGTTGTTTACTCTATTGTTTTGGTGTCTGAAATAGAATTATGGGTGTAAAAAAATCAGTTGCATCTGCCACAATTCTTGTATTAACTATTTCATTTCATTGGACACTTAAGCTTCTGTGTATTTAATATTGTCGTTTTTCTAATCCCCTTTTTTTCATTTTAGCCTTTTCAGCAGTTCCTCAATGCAAACCTTCAACACTATGGCTTTGCAGATGTAGAAAAGCAATCAAAATCGGTGTCCTTGTTGGAGGTAGATCCTTACGTAATTCAGCCAATATATGACCCTCTATGTAGTATAGTTCATAGATTTATTTTATTCAATGCTTTCCTGATAAATGGACCTCAGTTTCTTGTTAATAATTAGTTTACCAGTATTGATTATTGACTGCATATCTTTATTAAAAGATACTAAAATAAGCAAAAGTTGGAGAGAACTGAACAAAAAGTAAATCAGCAAGAGTTGGAGAGAACTGAACAAAAAGTAAATCAGCAAGAGTTGGAGAGAACTAAGCACTAACTGGATTTTGTGTTTTTCTTGATTGAATTATTTCTCTATTCCCATTATCCGGATACATAATCGATTCAGTTAAAAACGTGTAGTAGAATCTGAACAAGTGCTGCATTGTTGCTTACAGGGGTGATAATTGTGGCTACCCTGGTGGTTGCTCTGTCTCTTCTATGTTACTTTACTAGGCGTCGTTCCTCTTGGCTGAGAAAACAAGTTACAGTAAAGCGCTTATTACGAGAAGCTGCGGGCGACTCTATTGTTCCTCTATATCCGTACAAAGAAATAGAAAGAGCCACAAGTTTTTTCGATGAAAAACATAGGCTGGGAACTGGGGCATTTGGCACAGTTTATGCTGGACACCTTCACAACGATGAGTGCGTTGCTATAAAAAAGATTAAGTATAGAGACACCAATAGTGTTGACCAAGTCATAAACGAGATCAAGCTCCTTTCTTCAGTGAGTCACCCAAACTTAGTTCGCCTCCTAGGTTGCTGCATAGAAGGTGGAGATCAGATACTTGTGTATGAGTATATGCCCAATGGAACACTATCTGAACATTTGCAAAGGGAGAGGGGCGGAATACTTCCATGGACAACAAGACTCACCATTGCTACAGAAACTGCTAATGCTATAGCATATCTCCATTCTGCCATTAACCCTCCGATATATCACAGAGACATAAAATCCAGCAACATACTCTTGGACTACAGTTTTCAATCAAAAGTGGCAGATTTTGGGCTTTCTAGGCTTGGAATGTCAGAAACATCACATATCTCAACCGCCCCACAAGGGACCCCGGGCTATGTTGATCCCCAATACCACCAGAACTTTCACCTTTCTGATAAAAGTGATGTCTACAGTTTTGGAGTGGTTTTGGTAGAGATAATAAGTGCAATGAAAGTGGTTGATTTTTCGCGACCTACAAGTGAAATCAATTTGGCTGCACTTGCAGTTGAAAGGATTAGGAGGGGTTGTCTCGATGATATCATTGATCCCTTCCTTGAGCCACATAGGGATGCTTGGACACTCTATTCTGTTCACAAGGTGGCTGAGCTTGCATTTAGATGCCTTGCTTTTCATAGTGACATGAGGCCTACCATGATTGAAGTGGCTGAGGAGCTTGAAGTTATTAGACGCAGTGAGTGGGAAGCTTTGGAGGAAACCATATGCACAGCTTCATCGGTTGGGTCCGTTTGTTCATCGCCTCGAATAGGAAGAGAGAATTCATTGGTTGGTGTTAGTTTTGAGAGAGTTGCAGGGCAAGGGAGTGAGACATTGATTGTTCCACCCAAGAGTGAAATGTTTTTGCAATCAGTGAAGGAAGTGAAGGACAACTCTCCTGTATCTGTGCATGATGCTTGGCTCAGTGGAACTAGCTCACCTTCAACAAATTGCTAGTTAGTAAATATACTTATTTGGGTGAAATACCCATTATTTGAATGGCAAACGTCATTCAATGGTTTTCTTTTTTCTTTTTCAATTGTAGGATATATAGCCATTTGGATGATGATTGGCATCGAGATTCTTCTTTCTTTCTCTCTGAATCGTACCAACAATGTCCAAGACAATTTAATTATGTTCACCGATCCTATGTACTCAATATACAGAATTAATCTATTCACTATTCTTTGTTCGTTAGAAAGTGACCTACGAAGAGTTATCTTGTAGAATTTGTTGCTGGAATAACCAACAATTGAGCCGGTAACTATCTTGTTTGAATATGTTAAGTCAGTGATGGAATGTTGCTTTTGATATTTGCTAACGGTGCTTCAATAGAAGTTATCCAAGTCAATGACTTAATAAGTGACGTTACACCAAACATGGTTTTCATTGGTGTTTTATATCGTGGTTCCGATTCCTACTGCGCCCCCTTTTGTAGAAAAGTTTAGTAAAGGGAAAGGCTCAGAGTAAGCAATTGACGCTGACTGAAAAGGTATTTTAATCATTACTGCGCCCATTTAAACTTGGTGCCTCCTAAACCAATCTAGTTCTTCTACAGAAAAAACTACTTAAATACACACCAATTTAGTTCTTCGACAAAAAAAAAATTACTGCAACAAATTCAACTTTTAAGTGACTAAATTGCTGTAAATTAGATAGATTGGAGACTAATATAAGATTTTGTTTCAAAAGAAATACTATCCAACAACTCTTCCTCTCTAGTCTTTGATGATATCAGTAGGCCTAACTTTGCATTCAATTGTAGTGTCGGGAATTAATGACAATTTGACATATATTTATGCTATGGGTTTATTCATTCAAATTAAGGTTAATCGTTTAGAACGTAATGGCTCCTTCACGGTTATGTTTTTAACTGTTTGCTGTAATCCCTTATTGAAAGTACCCATAATTTGGGTGGCAAATATAGGAACAAGTAACGAAATTTGCTTTGACATGAAGCGTTCAGATTGTGTAGCTTTTGTGTTGTAGGAATAATAAAAATGATAGTTCCATAAAAAGGTTAACCAGTCCCATAAAAAGTATCCCCTGGTGTTGCTATTAGAAATAGTATCGGTTCATGCAATCCTATATATTGATTTTAAGTTCCCAATGATCCCAGTTGTAGCACACTACTTTTATTTCACCTTTTTTAACAAAAACTGCACGATCTTTTGCTGAAAAGAGAGTTACTTTTGCTTTCAAACAGTTCGCTGAAACCAACGTCTTCTTCCAGGTTATGGAAAAGTAACAGATATTTTGATTAATGCGAAAACATAATTTTGTGTTGCAACAAGAAACATTACAACTAGACTTGAACCAGAAGATGGTATCTTACAGAAGAGTGTCCGAGTAAAAGGAATATAGAACCTAACAAAGTTCTGGAAGACGCGCATCTTGTTCAATTCATCAAGCATATTTCGTTTAGGTTTCTTAGTTGTGAGTTGAGTCTGATTTGACACAAGTTGCATGACCAGAGAGTGTGAGAGTGGGAAGCAGAATATAAATTGCTCATGTTCACACATGGTATTATCCACATTCTACATAACAACAAAGCTCGCCCATTTCCTGTTCTCAGATATATGTCAGTGGAATCAAGATAGTAAATTATTGTACACGAAAAGGTCACAAGAAGCACAATAATTAGAGAAATTTTGCAGAAGGCATCGATTGAAGTCATCACTTGTGCAAGCTCACTTTGTCATCAGTTGAAAATGCTGCTCAACTTTGTGCACAGTAGGAGCTAATTCCTCACGTAATTCAAACTAATCTGCATCAAACTCCACCACAGTGGGCTTCCCGTTGTGCTGAGCCTAGAACATACAACACCACAGAAACAATCCCATAAGTCTAAGGACTCCTGATATTCTCACACCCCTTTTTAATTTCATGCACTCACTTTTTATGTTCTATCTATTTTGATAGAAATTACATATCTTGACTAAAATTATTGAATGTCTGTGACATAAAAGACTGAGAAATTCTGAAACGGGGAGCCGTTAGGGAACAAACCTCTTCGGACGGGAATGCATGGGCACAATGATCCTTCGAAGGAACACCAAAGAAGTGAAGCCTTGTAGATAAAAGAAGTCCCATAGCTCCTAGAAAGGAAGCGATGGCGATTTTCTTCTTCAAGTCTTTGCTTGGGAATTTGCGAGGAAAACCTTTTGGGGTACTCGTTCCTTTGCTGTTGTCAAAATCTGCTACAGATTTTTCCTGACATCACACATTTCATTGGAACATCTCATCTCATGTACTTCCTATCTTTAAAATTTTATTTTAGCTTCAAGATCTTATGGGTTTTGCTTTAACCGTGAGACAATAAAAGATTTACATTTTTTTTTATAAATTTGAATATCTACTTCGGTTTCTTTGCAATTTTAAAATTACTTTAATTATATAATAATGAAACAAAATAAAAAATACCGTTGTTGAGGATTTGTCTAGGTTTTGATTTAAGATCTTGACTTGACGGTTCTTGTGACGGTGGAACGGAATTGTTGGAAGGATTGGAAGAGGTTGATGATGTTTTAAGTATGGTGGGAATGTGTGGAGAGTTGGGAGACATACAGAGAAGCGAGACATTGAGAGAGATTAAAGGAAGAACTTTAGAAAGGAAAGATCCTGTGGTTACGTATTTGTAGCAGTTGCTGTAGCATGTAGTCAATAACACGGAACTAATGGTGGTAACTTGTACGCTGAGTTTGATTGCAACTGCTGTTTAGATTTCTCTCTATATTTCTGTTGGGGTATGACATAAGCTATATTAAAATAAATCTTCTTTTTCTTTCTTTATTTTTTCTATTAATGATGCATAATCTTTATTTTTGTTTTCCTCTTCATAATTCATTACTTAACTTGCAATTTCTTTCTTTCTTTAATTTCTTTCAACTAGCCTGTTAGTCAGGCTCATTCCCTCCTCAAGGAGTTGAAGATTAAAATAATAGTTATATCAACTTATTAACAGTAAAATCAAAGTACTTGTACAAAAAAATATATATTTTAAACATTCTATAGAGTAGAAACATTTTAATAGAAACTTAAAAATATAAGTATTTATAAAATATAAAAAATTTAATTAAATCTATTATTTATTAGGACCAGACATGCCATGTTTCTTAAACTTCATCAGTCGTAACCACTTTTCCTATCCGAAGAAACCGAACAAAAGTGTTTTTGAAGAATTATCAACTGCAGTCTTACTTGAAAAAAATAAATGCTACTAACATGTTTTTCTTTGATGACAAAGCTATCGTCGGCTAAAACATCAAAGTTTTCTTGGATTGTACCACCAAATGGTGAGAGGAATACACACATCACTCTATAAATTCTTTTTATGAAAAGTACATTATTTTATTTTAATTGTCAGTAAATACAAGTTAATTATAATATTATTCTAGCTAAAGATGTTTCGAACTCTTCATTGAGAAACATTCAAAGTGTATCTTCTTGGATAGTAAAAATACTTGGCCAATTTGTTTGTACATATCACATTCTATTTATATTCATTTAGTTTACGGAGGAAATCTCGGTGTATTTCATAGAATTAAACCTCAAACCATAAACCTGAGATTGTGGATAGTTTTGTCATCACATCATTATTCCCAGAAAATACATATTGTCCATGACATTTTATAATTAATGGAAATTTTTTATCCGTAAATATGGTTTATAAAAAACTATAAACAAAAAGAAATTTGTTGATAAAATAATTGTTGATAAACTTTACCGACAGATAAAAACATCTGTTGGTAAGTACGGACAATAATAAATGTTCGTTGGTAAAATGTGTGATTAAATCTTTTTTTTCCTTTTTTATTTTTTTTTATTTCATCATCTTTTACTCTTCGTCATCGGTCCATCATTGTGCCACCACCACTTTAGGTCATTTTCATTCTTTTGATTCTCATCGATTTTTTATTTGTTTTCCTTTTTTCTATTCCTCGTTTAAACCACCTTCTCTAACTCTGACCACCATCGTAACCATCACCTATGTCCTCCATCTATGTGTCACCGACGATGCACTGACATCAGTATCGCAAGTCATTGGCGAGCATTTGCATCATCGACAAACCTCCACATCATTCCTAAGCCACCATCGTCACCCCGACTCTCTCCTCTTCAGCTTGCATCACTAGTGAACCTTCATGTTAACTCCAAGCCACCACCACTAACTAGTACAAAAACATCGTATAACGTCAGTATTTTTTGTCCTTTCATATCGAATTCGAGGTCAACGTCATATCAGGAGACGTTAAATTGACATCAAACATAGAACAATTCGACATTCATATTAAAACAAATTAACGTTGAATTTTGTCAATATTCGACGTTAATAAATTTTTTTTTGTTTTTTAATTAATTGTGAATTTTTTTATAACTCTACAAGATTTGAAAAGCAGACAAACAACAAATTTCAATTTTTGGTATTTTATAAAGTATGAACTATAAACATGTAATGTAGTATCAACAACAACCAACAATAATAAATAACAAATAAATTCAATCAAACAACAACAATAACTAGGTTCAACTAAACAACAATAACAATAAACAAATTCAAAAAAAAAAAACAACAAACAAGCTTTTGCAACGCATATGACTTCAATTTTTGTTACCTGAAACGTCAAAACCGATCAAGGTGGGGTGGGTGAAAACTCCAATCTCAAAAGTGATTCTGTCTATGCAGGGCGTTACTACCTTAATAGCAAGCTGTTGCTGCTATGAGTTTCAGGCATAACTAAGAAAATAGTAGATGTTTACAAGGTGCCAACTTAGTATTTATGTCTCTCTTCTATTCTAGGTTGAGTAAGTCGTTCCACATTCAATTGGTAGAAGCAGAAAACGGAAGTGTAACAGAAAGCATCATGTGTTACAAGGTGTTGTGCCAGAAGTGTGGAAAATATTCCTGGGCTGGGTGTGGCGACCACTTGGCCAGTGTTTACAGAAACATAGGGGAGGGAAACCATTGTATGTGTCGCTCATGGCCTGGCGTTGTCATACCCCGACAACAGCAACAGCAACTGCAACCAACACAATCAACAACTCCACCCCAAGGTATAAGCACGTTTGATTGTTGGAGATACGCGGGTCAAATTATCAAAGGCCTGTTTGGTTACCAGAAAAGCGTCTCACTTTGAACCAACCATATTCAAGTAGCTTCCTCTTTGCTGAACATTTCACGTGGATTATATTTGGATAAAACTTCAATTTACCATGTACTTTCAGTCTTTGTTCTTCATTCATGATTCGAGTCTCCCTAAAAACCGCCACTGAATGTTATAGCCTATCGTTCAAATATGAAACTTCAAATTTACCAGTATCTATAATATTCTGTCAAAGTTTTGCTGTTGTAATCAAAGTTGATCCAAACACTGACGGGTTAAAAAAAATTGTCAACTAATTATATTTAGATCAGTTTACTCCTAGGTGTGGTAGAGAACACCAGTCTTCTTTTCCTTTGGTCAGAGATTCTACGAAAGGAATAATAATAAAGAAAAGGCGAGTTTAATTATAGTGTACTATGTTTTGACAAATTAATCTCAATGTTTATTTCAGTTCATCCTGTCACTTTAATCTGCGATTTCGGTTCAGCTGTCTTATTCATAATACTTGAATGATAGACATTCAGATTAATTTACGTACATATATAGTTCAGAGCACGGAGGACTATAAATGTGCTAAAGAGGATTATAAAGAGGAATTTTACTTTTTTCTAAATGGTGTTTCTGCTGGGAACCCTCAATTTCTTGAAGCACTCGCAGTGGATGGTCTGAAATGAATATTTTGCTTATGGTGGGACGATGAGGACAGAGAGAGAGAGAGGGAAAACAAATCAGGATTTGGATACCTATGTTGCTCCTAGGTGTTGCTGACATGATAATACTATGAAAATAGTCATATGTTGTTCTTGTTATGTTATGCCAAGTGTGGATTTTGTTGTGATTCTGTGTAAAAACTATGTTATACTTCATTAGATTCGGTCTTATTTGCAAGAAAAAAGTTATATTTTTTTAAATAATAAAAGGAAATTTGAATTATTTTTTATTTTAATTACTATTTTTTTCAAATAGTTTAACTTCAATTAATATGTAACTTTAGATTACGGAATCAAAATAATATGTTGAGAGAAGAGCATTTGGAAAGAATATTAAGAAGTCAGTAAAATTTAACAATTTGTGTGAAGTCCTGTTTTTTATAATTATATATTATATCTAATAATATTTTCCTAGGATATGATGATGTAAGGTAGAGGTGGTGGGGTTAAAATAATAGACATAAAACATGCATGCTTTTCTATGGTTATGGTTCAATTAATAAAGAATAATTTCCTCTGTTCTCGAGCTGATTGTTTTATTACTTTCATATAAGGTTCTTAAGGTTCTTAAGCTTGCCACGCATGGCTTGTTGAATTGAATAGTTTTTCTTATTTTACTATCTTGTATCATGTTTTTGTGCTCCTAGCCTGTTTTAACCTACTCTTTGTAAATGTGTGTATGTCCTCGAGCGAAAGAAAAAAAAAGGCGGGAATTGGTGAACAGGGAAATGGAGGGACATTTGGGATTTTAAATATAAGAAGAATACACTTTGATTTAAACTCGTTTTTACTATGAAACATATATTTACATCTGGGGTTGGTAAAATTGAAACGAGTAAAAATGTGTTTGGTTTTTTACTGTTCAAATGGGTGAAACACATTGACCTGAATAAGTTTGTTTATACCTATGAATCGGATTGAAAATAGATTAAACAAATTAGCCTAATGAAAGAGGGTGAAAGAAGCTAGTGTTGTAATTATCCCTTTGTTATTTTGGTTTTGGTGGTTTGTCATTATATTGTTCTTGGAGAACACCCAAATGCATGGTCAGATTAATAGGGTACATTATTGACACAATGACACGACTTGTTTTGTGCAAATCGTCTGATGGTGAGCCACCAAACACGTGAAAAGAAGCATCAAAGACATGGCTATTACCTATAAGTAAACCACATTCTGAAATAATTGATTTATCATCCAAGTAACTTTGTTCATTCAAAGAAATTTCAAACCCATGTAGGGTAGGTGGGGCTTATTTGACCATTTCCACATCCATGTTGAGGACATTGTGCCCTCAGATCTTCTCCTTGGACGGTCGTCTCCTACACAGTTTGAACATTTGAAAAACACTTGCGTTCATTTTGAACTTGTGATGGGAATAATTAATAATTTATCTTACAATGACTGTCTACTTATTAAATGCAGCCATAAATTGTTAGTAAGGATGTATGAAAGGGCAGATATGGCAACATAAATGAAGGGAGAGGGGCATTTTCAGAAGAGCATGACAGGGGGACCAGAGGTGAAAACTTCAAAAGTTTGAAAACTAAAAAATCTTAACAATAATGATTCTGTAATGCATATCAAGCAACTTTCTTTTTATACACAGTTTGCTACTTATGACTATTTATATGTATGCCCACTTGATAAAGTATGGAAAATCTCGAACCAATTAAAGTCGATGGAGTGAGTATGTGAGCTGGACCCGGTGGTTTGCTCATCACAAATTTCAAATATCCTTTCATACATTTAACCACTAGAATTGACCTCTGCTCTTGCTTCAATACTTTTCACATATTTTTGAACGATGTTACACTCACTTATTCTTAGCCGATGACATTGACAGATAATAAGTAAAGTACTCTGGTAATCATAGTAATTAAAATTGATCTCATTTTTTTCTAGTAGTGC